CTTAAGTTTCACTAAAAACTTTACACATGTAATTTCCAAACGAAAAAGAAATCGACAGCTGCGCGCCTGACATTGCCCTTTACAATCGTCATATTGGGTTTCCATATTATACGCAATCACAAGCTCATTTCCGACGACGGCGTCCAGATTTTCAATTGTGTCAAACTCGTTCTGGTAGAATTCACTGCAGTCTGCAACAAATTCAATTATCAAAAATTAAGATCACATAGCAATGTCTGATGAAAACAAGTTACTTAAGAATAGATCGGCTATCTCTCACTTTATTATGCTTAACTCGCCATTTATTTTAAACAACTGTGCCAGTCTGATTAATATAAAAAGTCGATTAAACAGGTTAACGTGACAACAATTGTTTACAAAACACTTGTATGCGCAGTGTATGAGACATATTTGCAAGTGCGTATGCTCACTCATTATTATTATTTTGTAAAATATCAAATGTACATTGTTCACAAGGTAATATTCAAGAACACTTTTATATTTGTGCTTTAAGCTGTGTTCTTTTCAACAGCAAACAACGTACATGTACAATTCTATATAAAAAAAGAAATCATTAAAAGCTGCGAGGAGTTGGTAATGCGTCATATTTCGTTGACATCAATGACGAAAAAAAAAAAGTCAAATTATTTCAGCGCATAGCAACAATAATATTTAAAAAAAAAACAGAATTTAAATCTTCCGCCGTTATTGGCGACGCCGGTGAGCGGCGTCGTCTTATATGGAATACTTTTTATTTTGGCCTATGGAAGGAGCTGTTATTATTAGCAGTTAATTTCATGTTGTGTTAATTATATCTATTTTGATTCGTAAAAATCAAGTAAACAAATATGTTGTTATATTTGTATTTAATAACTTTATATAAAAAGCATGTGCATTGTGATATTATTTTCACGAAATTGCAGGCTCAGATTAAACAGCTTGTCCCTTTGTTTTATTGACAAATACTAAAACCCGGATTTCGAATATCGTTGTGGTCTACATTGATGCTCATTCATTTATTATATTTTCAAAACTTTCCTACAAGAAGAAAGTTCACCTGCAAATGAGTATGTAGGATAGGTAATGGACTGTTGTAAACGATTATCCTATTGATTTTATCCATATTACGTTTATCTGTTGAACAGAATGGCTGTTTTTACAAAGTGTACCAGTATCCGGATGTTGACAGCTATCCGATTTTCTGCAATTACTGCTGTCACATGGCCATCTACTTTTTATGAATACTTTACCATTAATTTGCATAGCATAATTAAAATGAGCCTGCAACATTTATTTAATTTTGATGTTTAGGGTGTTCTTTTGTGTGTTTCATGTTTTCTTTATTTCAAGGGAAGTTAACTTCATGTTTACTAAATTATTTGTTCTTTTCTGTCTATCTTAGGTATTGATTACAATTTTTGTTTTATAAAATTTACCAGTTGTAAGGTCATCAAAAGCATAGATGCCCTGATGAGTGAATATTGATATATATATACTTTTACTGGCTTTATATACCCAATATTTCATATTTATTTAATAGAAACTTGGAATTATTAATGTTATGTGCATACATTTATATCTTAGTATATTGGTATGATGAGACTTATAATATTTCTGAATTTAAAGAGTTGCAGTTATGTCATTATTATTAAAGAGATGAGACTTTCATTTAAAGTTATAAATGATAATACATGTATTGATTGAAAATGTCCTGAAACTTGGATCAAGCAATATAATTGATAAAGCCTCAAAAAATCATGTTCTGAATAGTTATTCTAATTTTTTTCTAACATGTGCATAGTTTGAAAAGGACAGCTTCTGCCTTATCTATTTGTAATGGAGGGACACCGGTCTCAATCTCCAGGTCTCCTGAGTCAACCCCACAACAGACTTTTCATAGAGTAGATTGATACTTGTCCTTGAATAAATTTGTACACTAAATGTTATAGTGGGTGATTTGTGCCACATGAAAACCAACAAAGTACAAAAAGTAACCGGGCGCCAGATGAAAACATGAAAATACAATCTACCACAAAGTGGTTCGTTTGTTGCATTTTCATGTTTTTGCCCGGTGCCCTTGATGTAAAATACAAATCAGCCTTCATAAAATTTCTTATCATAGATATTGTACATGTATTAGCACAGTTATATTTCTCTTTCAAATTGACCTGTTATAAATAATGGCACAACCAATAACTGTCTTAGCCCTTTTTAGTAAAAATAATTATTACAATAATAATTATATAAATTGTTATTTTAATTAAGACTATGAGTATGTAAGGTTTTTTTTTTCTTATTTATTAATTAAGAATTAATTAATTATCTGTTAATTTAAAAATCTAAATATCTGTCACGGTTTAGAACTGTTCACTATTTAGGGGAGAAAATGTGTAAGCGACCAGATAGCTCAATCGCTACAGCCGCGGTACATTATTCTGTGGGTCACAGGTTTGAGTTCTGGTCAAGCTGAAAGTTTTTCTCATCCTGTTACTGCAAATAACCATGAGTTTAATTCACTATGCTCTGTAAACATCAGAAATTCAAGTACATGAATCAATATAGTGGGGAAAAAGGTTTTAGGTTTAGAACTGTTTCATTATTAAAGAGAAAATGTGTAGCCGGCCGGATAGCTCAGTTGGTCTTCTGAAAGTCATGGGTTCGAGTCATGATCAGGCAGTTTCAGTCAGGGTTTAGAAGTGGTTTTTCAACTGACACATGTTTGATTCATTTAATAGATTGCATTTAATTTGAAATGGACAAAGGCAGTTTTGCTTGATACTTTTAAATCTACAAAAAGCATTTGGTACAGTTGATCACACTAAACTGCACATGAAGAAGTTCTTTTTTCTTCTTCTTCATCTCTTCAAGCATCTGCCATATGTAATTGACATTCTTGCATGGTTCAAGTCTTATCTATGATAGCAGCTGGTGAATGTGGCTGGTACTCCTTCTCTCTGAATACCTATGGTGTCCCCCTGATGTTCATTTTAGGTCCTCTTTTATGTATGACATGTCTGCAACCCTAAGCAATAAGCTTTTATTATATGCACAGGCACAAGTATCAGACCTGGGAAGAAAAAATATTACCAGATTGATAAAAAAACCTGTGTTCATCTTAAAAGTGTCACAAACCAAAAAAAATGTAAATGATGACCCCCTTTAAAAACATACTTTAAGTTAATAGTATATTTTTAAAGGGGGTCATTATTTACATTTTTTTTTGGTTTTTGACACTTTTAAGATGAACACAGATTTTTTATTAATCTGTTAATCTGGTCATATTTTTTCTTCCCAGGTGTGATACTTGTGCCTGTCATTATATGATGATGACTCAGGTATCCTTGTATCTGGTAAAGTAAATCTTAAGATTGGTTTATTGACTATAAGTTGCCTTTGCATCTTGGCAAGACAGAGTCTATTCTTTTTGGTTTAAGTTTCAACATAAACTGGGCCAAGCCTCCAGGTCACATGAAATGGTACTGCTATAAAGTACACATCTTTTGTTAAGTATTTAGGTGCAAACCTGGATCAAATTCTTTTGGCGTCGCCCTTTGATGCTTTGCATCAATGCTTTTCTTGTTAGAGCCTGAATCGCTAGTGAATTTATATAACGCACGAGTCATTACAGTCCCTGTCCAAAAACATTTTGAAATAAATTTATTGGAAGTTAAAAAGATAAATAAATAAATGAATAAATGCTCACCTTTATAGAGCGCCCAATTGTCAACGCCACAATCTTGAAAGTTAAAGCAAAACACACATTTTAACACACCATGTTGTTTATTTGATTTGCCAATTTTGAAAATTAGATTATTTAATCAATTAGTCAATCAGTCTGTTATCTTAATAGTCAGTCAACGTTCATTCATTCATTAATTAATTCATTCATTCATTCATTCATTCATTCATTCAATAGTTCATTCATTTAATCAACCAACAATTAATCGTTCATTCATTCAATCAACCATTCATTCATTCATTCATTCATTCATTCATTCATTCATTCAATCAATCAATCTATCAATCAAATTCTATATCATTTTATCATTGATTCAATTTTTTTATTCATTCAATCAAACACTAAATCAACGTTTCAGTTCTATTTATTTTATTTGTTCAATCAAACATTCAATCATTTATTCATTCGTTCATCAAATCACTCAATTATTCATTCATTTAGTCATTCTTTTAGAAACTCGTAAAACTGTTAATTTTGAATGTTAGAAATTACCGCTAGATTCAGGTGCACATTCACAATAATCGCCATAGTAGCCGGCCGAGTTTGAGCAATTGCACGCCGCACTGTTACCGACCCTGTAGCACTCGTCCCTGTGGTTGCATGCGCCTGAAATAAGTAACACACACAATATCTTTAACGGACTTGCCCATCTTTCATTTTTTAACAAAACCATTCATTATTCTAGGGGGCAAAATAAAAATATGTATTGATAGTATATCGAACAGTGCTGACCATGATAGCAGATAGCATGTACATGCCTGAAGATCTTGGTATGCACTGGTCTTATGTGTGTACCAGCTAGCGTGCTAAAGCAATAACTGAATTCTGTACTTGAGCATACACATTTTTGTTAAGTTAGGTTCAACGCAAAAAGAGATGCAGAGATTACAAAGATGTGTCAGAAAAGTATCCTTCTATGGGATGCGTAAAATTATGTGAATCGTGCAAAATTTAATTCATATCGAACGTTTATATTTTTAGATATATAAGTTGGTGACGGGATATACGGGAGAATATAGCCTGAATGACATAGTTATGACCCGAGGCGCTACATGCATATGTACTTACAATATAAGCATATTTTGGCGCCCGTAGGTCCTAAACAATATTTTGCTCCGGGACACTGAAAAATAAATTATTCATTTAAACAATATAACTATTATTGTTATCATAATTAATCATTATCATAATATTATATTTTTATTATCATTATTTTATTATTATTATTATTATTATTTCATTATTATAATTATTATAATTATTATTATTATTTTACTTTTATTATTTTTATTATTATTTTTGGTTTATACAAAATTTATTTTAGTTCGATTGTGTAGGAAGCTATAACCTTATAGACACACTTTCGAATCCGTTCAAGAAACCAACCAGTACTGAGCAATGAGTGTTAAGGAAACAACGACTTGCCCCTGACGGGATTTGAACCTATGCGGCTAGCGATCATGAGATTACTAGTCCGAAGCGTTAACCACTCGGCCATGCCGCCACTTTATTATTATTATCATTATTATCAACAGTTTCAATATCACCATCATTATCGTCATGGTCATCGTCACTGTCATTATAATCATTAAAACAATCATCATCATAATCATGAACATCATTATCATCATCAATACAATCATCGTCAACTTCAACATCCTCCTCATCATCATTATTATAATCATCATCATAATGATCGCAATTATCATCATTATTATCATCATCATCATCATTTTCCTCATTATCATTATCATCATCATCATCATTACAATCATCGTTATCTTCATCATCATCGTCAGCAGCTACAGAAACATTTAAAGTCAGTATTTTGATGCTGAAATGTTTTCATGATTGAATGGACTGTTCCAAATCCAAAACCGAGGACAAATCTTTAGCACAAATTAGCAGGTTTCGGGCTAAATTATCATGAATTTTATAATAATAAAAAACTTACGTCAGAATCCAAAGTACAGGCTTGTAGATTTGGACATTCTGCGTTTGATTGTTGTATGAAAACAACCGAGACTAGAAATAGCTGGAAGAAAAGATAATGAAGTGAATGTGACATTGTAATTTTGTTTAAATATAAATTATCTATTTATATCATGTTACAATACAATTACAACATACAGAATTTTTTTACAATATCATGATAAAGTGGATTGAACTGAAACCTTAAAGCTAAATGATGCACTTTTCCAAGATAAAAATAATGAAATACTTAGTTTTAAACAACACAGAATTGTTTTTCCAATGGAAATAAAAGCTGAAAGCCGCTTCAAGAACACCATTCATTATGACTTCCCGTCTATACATTTCATTTGCCGGTATTTTGTTTATCAATCAAACTGTGTTTTTCTCATCAAGATCGTTATTATTTTTACATATAATATAGTTGCCATACAGTGTTCGTTATTTTGCTTGTTTATGTGCTCATTGACTTAAAAATGAATTTATTGAATGGAATGGAAAAAAGGTCACTGTCTGCTTACACCATGCAACTTATCTAAAACAAATTAACTTCTCAATACACGAGCCTACCGACTTACTAACCCACAAAACCAAAACCAACAGAACTAGTCATCCATTAATCGAGTAAAAAATCTACCGTTTAACAAGCCTTCGAATTAACCAGTTCACTAACCAGCAAACAAACCTACAATCCAGTTCAATAACTAATGATCAAACTAACTAACAAATTTAACCAACGAAAATAAATAATAAAACAGTTCCTCTTCAAAGTGACCAGCAGGTAAACCTCACAACCATATAATAATAAGCCAATCAAATTTTCGGGCCATCAAGCAACTTTGATTATCATTGTTATCTTTGTCTCTTTTATAATAAGTAAATAAAAAATTCAGTATAATCATCATCATCATCATCATTATCATCATCACATGACATTTATATTCATAATTGTTTCAATAACAAATAAACATATATTTTCAAAACAAAACAAATATTAAAACTGTTACTTACTATTGCCAAGACATGAAGATCGAGCTTGTGTATGCTAAGCATATCTTATATTTTATGCAACCTTTCCTGAAAGACTTCCTACAGGAGAATGATCATGTTAAATGTTAAAATAGAAAGCTACATGCCGATACACAATGACATATGTTACATGATTTTAATTATCTTCTCACTTCAAACAGTTTCTCATATAATTTCCTAACTGACAACTTTTAATTACAAAAAAAAATGTTCTAAAAATCCATCATTGAGTGTCAAACAAAGTCTAGGTACCGTGATTGAATTTAATAACATATTTCTAGCATGAATATCTAACAGAACAGAACAGAACAGATATTAGCACGTATACATAATCGATATCAAAATAAAGATACAAAAATAGACACGTCAATTTTATTGTTGGTTTTGAATGCATTTGCAGGTAGGGCTGGTCGTCATCATCAACAACAACAACAACAACAACCACAAATAAAGTTTAATAAGCGCCGATCTATAATGTTATCTAAATTCCCGTAAAAGATGAATAGTTAGAACATTAACGCTTTTTATCAATAATAACGTTTTTATCGGATGTTTGGGGGCATCCGTGGCCGAGTGGTTAAGGTCGAACTTCGAACTACTTGCCCCTCACCATTGAGGGTTCGAAAACCGACATGGACTTTGGATTCTTTCATATGAGGAAGCTATCCAGCTAGGTGGTTCTATTCAGGTGCCCGTTCGTGCACGCAAAGTCACCTGAAGTCTTCTTTCACCAGTTAAACTGGAACGTCGCCACATGACCTGTACTGAACAAACAAACAAATCCGCAGTTTGACGGAAAGGGCCAAGAAGTTGCAATGGATTTAAAATTATGCCCGCGATTATTCAACAGTCAAATAACGTAAATAAAAAACTACTAAGTTCAAATCAACAAGATAGCAAATTTTTGAACACGCCTTTCATGCGATTGTTGATAAAGTGGTGCAAATTCTTGTTAATGTGGGGCGAGTAGTTACGGAACGGAGCGAATATTGGGTGGGTGTGCGGGATCCTGGGATCCGGAAATTATTTGAATGCGATCGAATGCACATGTATTATATTTTCATGATTGATGATAAGCTGTATATGCTTAAGTAAAAATAAATATTTTGTTCTATTCTTTTCTATAAGGAAAAATAATAAACTAATTACTGTACACAGTATTGTGTTGATATTTGTGGTATTAATGGTGATGAAACGTAAAATATTTGATTATATCGAAAGTAGATTTAAACGTAAGATAGAGTTATACTTGAAATGCGGGAATAACAATACATGCACTTACAAAAGATTTATCCTTTAAAATAAGTTTGTTTTATACACGATATAGCTTAGCTTCAGCTAATGTTTTTTATATATAATATCATTTATTTTTAATTAAGATCATAACATATCATGCCTAACAAAGTTAATGATAGACAACCTTTTGAAACATGTCGCAGATGGTGATGGTCTATTTCTGGAATCTCTCTATTTCAAAAACTACCCCGGCTATTCTTAACATTATATGACAGTAGGTAATTAGCGGGATCTCTATATATCTAATACGATTCAATTTTTCTTACCATTTAATGACAAAATGTATCATTTATTTTAAATACTAAAACAAAATATTTCATTTCATAAAGTATTTCGCTATGACCGTCATGTCTTAAGTTGTTTTGTACAAATACTTTAGGTCGGGTATCTCATGTACGCGAAAACCATTAAAGGAACTCCACTGAGGTTTATAAGCCTAAAACATAGTATTTTATTTTTTTCACATAGATAAACATGAGCACTTTAAACAGAAATATAAATAAAATGTAACTAGGAAATATACAAGAAATACATTGAAAATCATATGTTTGTGCTATTCTCAGTCCGATTTTAGTGAAAAGCGTTTAAACGCTTTTCCATTTTGGGTCATTTTTCACTATTATAAAAATTATTCTGGAAAAACGGAGCGAGCTATTGGTCTGAAATTTTGCACATAAGTTATCAGTATAGATCTACATCAAATGTAGTAATAATCTCAAAAAAAAATATTTCCAGTCCCGTCATGTCAAAAAAACCTCAGTGGAGTCCCTTTAAGTAACTTCAATAGAAAAAGTCTATTTTCTAATTTCCTGAAAAATTCTTACGTACCGAAACACATTTGTTACAGTATCAAATTGCAGGACTTAGATGTAATCGATAATTTATTAATGATACCTATGGCAGGTGGTCAATTCCCTATATATTACTATAATACAATCCCAGATCCCGACTTTTCTTCAAGCAATCCTGATTGGGCGACTCGTTTTAATTTCATATTTAGTTGTAATGTAGAACCTTACACGATAAAGATATCTGTACAATAGATCCGGATGTACTAACATGCTTCGCTAATGAAAGGATAAGTTTCACCTTTTCACCTTTGGTATATACAACCCCACGGTGATAGGCCTTCTAAAGGGTTGTCATTCCTGAGGTGTTATCACCGTGGCTGCGTTGCCGAAGGCTATCACAGTGGGTATTCTTGTGATAAAGACAATCTAAAAGGCCATGGGCTGGGTCAGTCTTATTGCATTCAAAGAGGCTCTCAACATGGGTTAACACAAGTTATATATCCGGGAGATTTCCGCGTAGCAGCGTCGTATTTTATAACCGGCTTTCTATTCCTTCTATATATATATAAAGTTTAAAAAAAATTGTACTAAACACGATTCGTTTTTGTACAACTTTGGAGGGTCTTAATTGCACAATATGAGGACGAAAGCAGTAACACAAACATTATGTCCGAGAGATTGCCGTGTGGCATGGTCGTTTTTTGGACCGGCAATTTGTTCTTTCTGTATATAAATCTCGTAAAAAAACACCATATTCTAGAGGCAACTGTTAAACACCATTAATTTTGTCTGATTCTTTTGCAGATTCGTTTTTGTGCAACTTTGGAAGGTCTTCTTTGCACAATATGAGAACCAAAACCCTAACACAAGCTATATGTCCGAAAGTTTTCTGCGTGGCATGGTCGTTTTTTGGACCGGCGCTTTGTTCTTTCTTTATATCAATCTCGTAAAAAACACCATTTTCTAGAGCAAATAGATAAAGCACCATTTGTCTGATTCTTTTCGTGGCTTGGTCGGTTTTTTGCCCGGCAATTTGCTGTTTTCTCTATAACCGTAGATTGGTTGAAATTTTCAAAAGCAACGTCATAGACACGTCAACGCCCTTCTTTAATTTCGTTTTTCATAATTTTGATCCATCACAACATTATAAGAAAGTTATTAAGTGGTGTGTGACAAAAACACGCTTTAGAGCACGTTCTTACATGAATTGACGGCATGCACAAACATTAAAATGAATGATACGTACTTAAAGGAGAAGAAAAGTAATGATCAAGTAGATTGTATTAATTTAGAGGATCGTCCTCACAGCAATATAAGGCTACAACCTCTGACGACACAGGGAAAAGGATAGCAAGAGGGCCGCTTAACATTGTCGCTTTTTGGAACGTCGATTAGTTCTTTCAATAGATAAAGTCATCGAAATTTGGTAAAAAATCTAACTTTCTATAGCGAACTTTAATACACCATTTGTCTGACTCCACTGAAGATTCAGTTTTTTCCCCTTAGTTTAGAATGTCACCGTGGGTGAATTCGCAATAAGAAACCATTCAAAAGGCCTATCACCGTGGGTCGTGTAAGCTTAAGTGCATTGTCTGTCACTGCGGATATGATTGCAATAAGGACATACTACCGTGGGTTGGGTCAGCCTTACTTCATTCCTTGAGACTAGCACCGTTGGTGAATTCGCTAGAAGAACCCTCTACAAGGCATGTCCCCGTGGGTCGTGTGATTTTAACTGCACTCCCTAAGGTTTTCAATGTGGGAATGTTTGCAACAAGAATCCTCTAAAAGGCCTATCACCGTGGATTCAGCCAGCCTTACTGAATTTCTTGAGGCGATAAGAACCGTTTAAACGGCCTGTAATCGTGAATTGCGTCAGCCTTGCAGCATCCCCTGAGGCTATATACCTTGGATGAATTCGCTGTGAGTCTTCTCCAAAAGGCCTATTACCGTTGGTCGTCTGTGTTTTACTGCATTGTCTGACCCTATCTCTGTGGGAATGAATTCTTGCGCTAAGAACCCTATAAAAGGCCTATCGCCGCGGGTTATGTCAGCGATACTGCAATTCCTGGGGCTATCACCGTGGGTCAACTTGCAGTAAGAACTCGCTGGAAGGCATTTCACCAGGAGTTATGTGTGTTTAACTGTATTGCATGGTGCTTTACCCGTTTGTCACTTTGCGATAAGAACTCTCTAGAAGGCCTATCACTGCGGGTTGTGTGAGTCTAACTTTATTTTCTGATGCTATCACCGTGGGTTAATGATTGATATAAACCCTCTCAAGCTTGGGTCTATCACCGTGGGTTGTGTGTGTTTTACTGCATTGCCTTAGGCTATCACCGTGGGTCAAATTGCGATAAGAACCCTTTAAAAGCAATATCCCCGTGGGTTGTGTGTGTTTTACTGCATTACCTTGGGCTATTACCTTAGGTCAACTTGCGGTAAAAACTCTGTGATAGGCTAATCGCATTGGGTTGACGTGTCACCGTTAAAGCATTAATTGTTTGAGGCTATCACAGTGTGTCAAATTGCGATAAAACCCTTGAGTAATGAAAGCTCTACTCCGTTGCCTGAGGCTAGCACCGTGTGTCACTTTGCGAAAAGAACTTTATAGAAGGCCTATCATCGCGGGGTGATTTAGCTTAACTTCATTTTCTGAAGTTATCATCGTGTTGTTTTAACTTTAGTACATTGACTGAGGCTATCAACGTGAGTCAACTTGCGACAAGAGGCATCTAAAGGGATTATGACCGCGCGTTGTGTCACTTTTACTGCATTGTCTGAGGCTATCAGCTTAATTAGATCAGTTTGCGGTAAGAGCCCTCTAAAAGTCCTATCACCGCTATCACTCTCTAAAAGGTGAATCACCGTGGGTAACGTCAGCCTTGCTAGTTAAGGGCCTTTCTCCGGGGGTTGGTTCAGCCTTACTGCATTACTGGTAATTTGTGAGTTTATAAAGATGTCAGTCCTGTGATCAGCATAATATTTCAATGAAAATGGTTGGGGGTGGGGGTAATCCTCTTTGAAGTCATTTTGCCAAATTTAGTTAACCTCCCCTTTATGACAAGCTCATTTATTTTATTTGTCAGCCATTTCGTTCTGCTAGAAATATCATCTCTTTATCATAAAACTCAATTTTAGATAAGGATAAGGGGCCATTAATGATTTCACATGTAATGTATATGGAAAAATCAATATGTGAATCTGACGGGTCTCCCTAATTACCGACAAGAACCGTCATGAACCGACAAGAACGGTATCCACTATTTGTTGATGTAATATGTAGTTATGTTAAGTTCTACCAAAGACTGCTAAGTGGAAATGTTAGCAAATTACTATCTGCTGCCTTTAGTGAAAGTCAAACATTATTTACGGATAAAAAAGTTTGCTGGGTTTCTTGTGTACAACATTGTTTTAAGCATTTAGGTATATTTGATGCTGGTTTAACCAATAAGAACTTAGTAAATGTTGTTAAACTCAAGTTAGTGAAAATGTACCAAACCAACTGGTGTTTGAATATCTCAGGTACTGAAGGGAAACTTAGAACATACTCTTTGTTTAAACAAAGGTTTTGTAGAGAAGTGTACTTTAGACATATTAAGAACAAAGATATAAGAACTTTCTTCACCAAGTTTAGAGTAAGTGCACACAGATTGAATATAGAAACAGGCAGATATAAAAAGATCCCAGTAAATCAAAGGTATTGTAACTGTTGCTCTTCCAATCTTGTAGAAGATGAAATTCATTTTTCCATGTGTTGTACAAAATTTGATAGTAATAGAGAACTACTATTTAGACAAATTGAAATATTAAATAAGAACTTTTATATGATGAATAATAAGCAGAAATTTGTTTGGTTAATGTCCTCGGAAGACCCTAGAATCTTGAATGTCTTTTCTAAATACTTACTCGAAATTTATAATAAAAGAAATCTTATGTTAGGTAGTACTATTAATATTAGTAATAAAAATTTGTCAGACCATTGAATGTATATGATTGTACCTGATTTATTTACTTCTTATTTTAACATTACTATGCCTGTGTTTTTTGTTTTGTTTTTTCCCCAATAATACGAATTAAGCTTTAGTTACTTTATTGTCTTCATTTCTACCATACAATACACAATTTGTTGGTTGATATATTTTGTTTCATGCCATATGTTTTATGCTTGTGATTATATATGTCATATAATATGACCCTTGATTGGTGAAATAAAATTATTCTATTCTATTCTAATAATTATTATTTATTATACGACATAATCTTAATAAAAATAAATTATGATTTAACACTTGTACACAAATTCTTAATGTAATATCAATGATACGAAGATGGCCGAGTTCTTGACGGTGAGAAACTGAGACTGACTTCTTGTCGGTATAGATATTTGCCAATACTGTAAACATGGTTCAGAACGAATTTATTATGTTTTTTATGTAAAAAAATATTAGGAATTGTAATTATTAAATGATGAATTAGTGAAATTAATTCGTATTTTCCCATTTTTACTTCTTGTCGGTTCCTGACGGTTCTTGTCGGTAATTAGGGAGACCGGAATCTGACCTTTATCCTGTCCGAACAACAACAACAACAACAACAATAATGCACACTGGCTACAAATTTGTTTCTCTCCCTTGAAATACTCAGTAATTAGTTATGTAAGTATGAATTAAATGTAAGTTATAGTAAATGTTTGATATAAGGCTTGCTTCAAGTAGTTGTTTTTTCTAAAGGGTAGACGAGATATGTCATTATCTAGATTTCCATTGTTTCATGACATAGTACACGGATGTTCATATTTTAAACAAATACTTGTGCACAGTGATTTCTCCCAGCCAAATGACCAGTGATGACTGTTTCCCACTGATATTAGACACTTTATTGTAATGCTTTAAAATGCTATATTTTCTTCTAAACTGCCATACATGTGTGAGTGATTATTCTAGACATGAAAAAGCCTAGTCCAATAGATTAGACGTTACAGGCTTGTTATAGTTTTATGTTGGTCAAGCCTGACGTCTAATAGTTATTGCTCATAAACGCGTAGCATTTTGAAAAAATTAAAAAATGTCTGTTGACTTGCCTTTCAAGCTTTATTCAAAAGCTTATCTTCTGTTCTTTCAATTGCATGGTCTATCATTAACAAAAACTTTCAAACAATGCACTTATCAATTAAAAATAAAATATAAATAGCAGTCTATTTCGCTCATCGGCCATACTGGTTAAGTAAAGCGTTTTACAGATTGATTCCAATTTTTTGAACGGAAAAATATATTCGAACACACTGGCGGTGCATGGGCAATTATTTCGTTGAAAAAATATTCCGTTAGATTGTTCTGACTCATTTAAACGCTTGCATTTGAATTAGCCAATCAGATTTCGCGCACTGTATGGCGGCCATTTGTATATCGGCTGTACAAGAATTAAATTAAATGAGAGGATATAATCATGACTTTTCGGACGTGACAGTTAAATTATTTTGTTAAAAGGTATTCATTTTTTAGTTTTGTTCATGAATAAGTCAAAATTAATGTAAATACACGCTGTTTTAATTGTTTAAATTCATTAGATCTAAATCGATGTCTAATGTCATTTTTTTTGCTACACGATTTTGCAAAGATCTGTTAAGACCTAACGTAACATGGAAAATGAAAAATGTAAAATATCAGATTAATGAATGATAAATATTAAATAGGTTACGTATAGGTCTTATAATTAGGACTAGAAAAAGCCTAAAAGGGGTGTTACAGCAGTGTGCAGGCAGGCAGGTTAGGTTAAGCAGTTAAGGTCTTCAGCATACCCGTTTATATACTATGATTGACATCACACATCAGATGAAAAACAAAAATGTTAAATAGCGGCTTATAACGTTTTGGAAGCCAGAACTATGTGCAGGCGTAACTTAAGATCTTTAGCGTGAATACTGAAGACAGGCACATAGGGAAAGTCCACTAATAATCGTGCCAGGAATCTGACACGCTCGTTTTCATTCATCAAACATGCCATGAAGTAAAGTGAAGCATATCTTGATAAAACTATCCCCTGGTCATATGTTTTGATTCTCGTCTATTTTGACGTTATCTTTGTTTTGACCTTACTAATACATTTGGTGAAAATAATCTTGAATGACATCATAACTTGCTGACTGCATGTATAATTTACAACATACCATTAAATCATGTGGAAAGACAGAGACCTTATATCAGCTAAAAATACTTCACCTTTATCATATGTGCTGAATTTTTTCATCTTTTTTTCTAATTAATGAAAAAGTCAATTACATGTAATGTTTATGCAAGCTATAATTTTGCAAATACGTCCTTTGGAAAATCTTTACCTATCCTTTTCTATTTCTATCCTCATTTTAAAATGTCTAATGATTGTCATGTGACCAAAAGTAGAAGACCTATCAAGAAACTTAAGACTGATTTAGTTCTTCTCAAACTCTTATACAAGCTACATCAACACGGCTTCCAAGATAATACATTGCAATTGGTCAAATCATTCTTGATACATATAGCTCGCCGCCATATTGTTGTAGTAGATGGGGAAATGTCAGATCTATGAGGTCCCTGTATCATCTGGCGTCTCCAAAGGGTCTGTCAAAGGTCCCGTTCTCTTTCTGTTATATAAAAATGACCTGCCTGAAAATTTAGTTTTACAGGTCCTGTTATTCGCTGATGGCACTGCTGTTTATATAGCTGTCAATAACAAATCCCAAGAGAAGATCTTACAACAAGACCTTGACAGGTTACAGCTATGTTAATAAAGCAAATGGGACATGGAGTTCAACCCCTCTAAGTGTACTATGCTAAATATGAACAAGTCAAAACATCCATTCAAGTCAGCATATAAACTACGAGGGATGATCAAAAATTAACCGGACTTTGTAGATGATTCTTTACCTGTTAAATGCATTTGCATAAAAATACACGGAACATAAATCGGAATCTATCCCCTAAATGATACAAAAAATACCAAGAAGAAATATTAACAAATAAAAAAGTTATGCTGTTATTGGCATGCACATGTAAAGCAATGCGGCGCACGGTATAACTTAAAAATTGACGTTAAGGACGTCACACGCGTATTGTCTTTAACGGAGCAGTTTTAAATCATTCACGAAGTAGACCAATACGTGTTCCATATGTTGTTGATGGTGGCGGATCGACTGCCTATATATATCTCTGTACAAGTCGGTATCATATTGTATTGTAATAGAATGGATGATGATACAGAGCTCCTGTAATGACGCAAAGTCCCGTTCTTACCTTCTGTAAAATAATTGCTGGATAAATCGCACATGCGATAAACCATATTATGTCTTTCATTGATTCATAGTGTTTCTGAATGATAATGTATCATACATACATTCGGGAAAATAAAAGAATAATATAACTAAGAACAAAATTGCCATAATTTTAAAATAAATAAAACGCATAGCCGATTTTAAACCCTGACTGTTAAATTGTTGACACAATTTCTACATTAGACTCTTACTTAAAATAATAAAATAATGTATACAAATGTAAACCAAAAATATAATATATGTTATTAATACATAAGCAATTATCATTTCAAAATCCTTAGTGTTGACTGAACCGTCCCTTAGCTACTGTCGAACATAGTTGAACAATTTCCGCAGTCAATTGACTGTCATTTTTTAACGTTTCGGCGATTGACGTCACCAACGTCCTTGAAAATTTCTTCTTTTTTTGCCTCTCCTTTACTTGTTTTTCATTTCTCTATTACCCTTTCTTAATCCTTTATGCTAATAAAAAACTATATTGTGGCTTCTTGGATCTTTTCCCTTGATAGCCTTAATCTTTTTCTATGATTTAAATAGTTTCTCCCCTTACTTTTGACAAACTTTTCTTATTGATCGATTTTCTAGACGTTCCGACGACATACTTTTAACGCGAGTTTTTCTTTAGCAAGTGACGTTTGAACTGTGATTGCAAATATAAATATGGTTTAAATGAAGTCATGTTTTCTGACAACGTCAAAGATATGGCTCATGACGTTTTGGTGTATTTTGAAATCTAAAAGCGCCATATTGTAAAATATACGCATCATAAAGCGCATGATGTTAGCGCAAATTTACGCACTGCGCCGGGTGTGCGTTACCATGGTTTTTATATTCGCTGTCATGGACAAACTATTTGCGTTATCAGATTAAATATATAATCAGTTTTTAGGTATTGTTTTCCGATTAAGTGTGATATATAACAATAAGTGATAGGATGAAAATTCTTCAACTGACAGTCACAGTCCGGTTTCATCCCTCGTATATTCACTTCATGGCCAAGTCCTATGTCAATGACGCAAAGTACCTGGGTGTCACTTTCTCCTCTGTCAGATCTAAATTGGAACAAACATGTCAATCAGGTTACCTCTAAGGCTAGTAAAACTCAAAACTTTCTTAAAAGAAACATCCTTTCTAAAACTTCAAGCGTAAGGGAATTTGCATACAAAACCTTGGTTACAGGGTGTCCGTTTGACCCTTGAAATGACTCTTTGACCCTTCAAAATTCCAAAAGGCCTGATTTGACCCTCAGGACTTTTACTGGAGGGTCAAAAAATGAAATTTTGTTAACATCATAGGGCTTTTGCCTTGTAATCGGTAAAACTTAGTCAAAATGACCCTCAGGATTTCATGGCTAGTGAATACCCTGGGTTAGACCCCAGCTTCAATAATTATACCAGTTCTCAGACTTCCCGAAAGTTGAAAAAAACTGTCAGACATTCGGTCTGACAAACCATGAAAATCTGTCGGACCGAAACGAAATCTGTCGGACCAAATAAAATTGATCAAAATCAAAGAATAACGTGTGTTTGTATTTCTAAGACACTTTTTGTTTTTAATTTATATTCCTTACAGCGCATTTTCATCTCCTCCCTATCATACACCAAATTCACTGTCTTGCTTCTAATTTTCATTAAATTTTGTCTCAGGTCCTTCTGTTTATCCTTTTACTACTGTTCTGTGCGTTCCTCTGACGTAGAATTTTGATTTTTCCCAAGGTTTGGCACCTTTAGCGACGCCATTTTGTATACATGCGGCTTGGATAAAAGCCGGACAGTCGGACCGATCCGGAATAAAAACTCGTCGGACCTGATCAAAATTTATCGGACATGTCCGTCGGATCGACATATTTCGGGAAGTCTGAACAGTTCTGTCAGGTTACCTTACACTCAGCAGAACATCCACAAAGTTGAAATGGTCCAGCGCAGAGCAAAAAGGGAAAACTGTTTTTTTATGCCACCGCAGCATCTGCGATGCGGTGGCATATAGCGATTCACCTGTGTGTATGTATGTGTGTGTGTTTGTTTGTTTGTGTGTGTGTGTGTGTGTGTGTGTGTGTTATATAAATTATATAGTGAACTTAAAAAATCTTCTTGTGAAAAAACTACTAGTTCAATTTTAACCAAACTTGGCAGGATTGATCCTTGGGTGAAGGGGTTCCAAAGTTGTTCAAAGAATTTCATTCCATGCAGAAATCTGGTTGCCATGCCAACCAAAAGGAATTATAAGAATAAATTTAAAAAATCTTCTTGTAAAGATCCAAAAGGCATAGAGCTTAGATATTTTACATAAGGCATTGTCTGGTACACCTCTACCAAGATTGTTCAAATTATAGCCCTGGGGTCAAAATCGGCCCCGCCCCGGGGTCATTGATTTTCACTATATATACATATAGTAAAAACATAACATACCTCCCTGTAAAGACCCTAAAGGCCTCGAGCTTAGATATTTTGCATAAGGCATTTTTTGGTAGAAATCTACCAAGATTGTTCAACTTATAGCCCTGGGGTCAAAATCGGCCCCTTCCAAGGGGGTCATTGATTTTCACTATATGTACATATAGTAAAAACTTAAATTCCTTCTTGAAAAGACCAAAAAGGCCTAGAGCTTAGATACTTTGCATAAGGCAAAAATGTCTGGTAGACCTCTACCCAAATTTTTCAAATTATATCCCTGGGGTCAAAATCGGACCCGCCCCGGGGGTCATTGGTTTTCCTTATATGTATATTGTAAAAACTTTAAAAACATTTCTTCTAGCAATTGACAAATGCTAGAGGTTAGATATTTTGCATGAAACATTGTGAAGTAAACTTCTAGCAAGATTGTTCAAATTATAGCCCTGAGGTGAAAGTTGCCCCCGCCCCGGGGGTCATTAATTTTCAATATATACATATAGTAAAAAATAAAAAAATCTTATTGTCTGAAGCCTAGAGCCTAGAGCTCTAATATTTGTTAAATGATATCATCTATAGGTACTCTACCAAAGTTGTTCAAATTTTGCCTCTAGTGTCAAAATTAGCCCTGCCCCGGGGGCCATAGGTTTTCCTTATATGTATATAGTAAAAACTTTAAAAAATCATCTTCTCTTAATTTACAAAGGCTAGAGTTAAGATATTTTTATTGTCTGAAGGTACAAGGCATAGAGCTTTGATATTTGGTATATAATATCATCTATAGGTCCTCTACCAAAGTTGTTCAAATTTTTCCCCTGGTGTCAACTTTGGCCATGCCCGGGGGAAGTGATTCTCACTATGTACACATAGTAAAAACAGAAAATAAAACAAATGTTTTCTGAATGTGAGAAAGCTACAACTTAGATATTTGACTTGAAAGGTTGTTTGGTGGACTGTATCAAGATTGTTTTGAATTAAATCCTTGCCTTGCCCAAGGGGACAGTGACCTACTTTATTGTCCTTTGATGTACAGCTATGAAATTTGAACCATGTGCGCAGATTAAGATGTAAAGTGAACTTTGATTTCAGCAAGTGTCTTACTCTGTTGTCCTTTGATGTAGTCATGAAATTTAGGCTGTGTGAAATATGACCTTTGGCAACACCAAATTCACTAGACTCGACTGCATTGATATATTCCTACTCTGATCTTTTATTGAGTTAACAACAGATTTAACCACTTATCTGATATTAAGAATTAGATATGTCAGGGATCTATGCATTATGACAATCTTCAAAATTGTATAGAAACAAAAAAAATCTGTTCCTACACTACTATTTAGTGTTGTATTAATGCGGTGGCATAGCATTTTTCTCAAATGCAATCTTGTTTTCTCCCTTAACTTCTAAGCATATTTTTCTCCAGTATGATTATTCTTGTTGATGTAAAACATAAAATTTTGAAGCATTTGGTTCTAAATTTTGCATTTCCATATATACTTTGAATGTATTATAAAAAATAATATTCAATAATTAATACTTTAGGTAAAAGAAATAATTTAATTTACCCTACCCAAGCTGATATGTTTTGGTGGAGGGAAATTAAAGATATTTTTAAGGTGGGTATTTATAGATCTATGTACTTGCTTTTTTGGGAAATGTACAATAAAAATGTGCACTCAGCAGATGTATAGTTTAACAAAATGTGTATTATGTAAACATAATTGTTTGCTAATGTAAATAGAACATTAAACATTCGAGCATTACAGAAAGTCAAATGACTGTTTAATATATTTACATATTATGTAAACATATTTTTTAAACAGATTGCGAATGTAAACAGAACATTTAATATGCCAGCTTTACAGAAAGTCAAACAACTGTTTAATATATGTACATAATAGAGTTATGATGTATATGAACTACAAATGTACAGTAAAACCTCTAGTCTATAGGACGGCTCTCTGTAATGCAGTTATAAACCTCTGTATAACAACCTTGTCAATATACCAGAAGTAAGACTTGGCAATAAGTGCAACCTTTCTAGAGCTACACATGCCAGCGGCATTCTGAATCTTTATCTGAGGGCAAGTTAACCCATGGTGATAGACTCGGGGAATGTAGTTAAACACAAACAACCCACGGTTATAGGCCTTTCAGTGGATTCTTATCGCAAGTTGACCCACGCTGATAGCCTCTGGTAATGCAGAAATTTAGGCTGACACAATCCACAATGATAGGCTTTGTATTGCCAGCCAAGTTTAGAGACAAGAATACATCTCACAATGCAGAAAAGTTTTGCGGAAAACACTTGAATATTGACTACAGAATAGAAATTTAAGGTGCCAGTGATAAAGTGGTAAAGGTTGTTGACTTCAAACCATAATATATGGCTCTCACTGCTGAGTGAGAAAGCTATCCAGTTGTTCCTCCTCACCCCAACCCCCACCCCCCCCCCTCCCATAGTCATCAGTCTTTATCATTTTACTATGGAAGACATTACCCAAAGGCTAGAAGGTAGCTTTTTATTACAATACAAATATAGAACTATAAATCATCCAGCAAGACTAAAGTCCTTGACTTACAGCCCATTCCTTTTTTATGGCTTTTCCATGTTGCAGATTTATATACATACAGTATAGTACTATAATGTAATAATTGTAGACTTAAATATATGATATCATTCTGGTGTATATTGTTAATATCTACACATCATGATTTCTTAATCAGTTCTTCTTATGTTAAATTTTTCCAAAAGAATTTGCCCTACTTTCAAAGGGTTTTGCTTTGTAGTCTCACAGTCCTACTTCCAAAGGGTGTTGCCGTACAGAGGTTTGACTGTACATTGTACTTTTACACAAGAAGTTATAATAATCATTAATGTGTGCATACATTATTTATTTTGTAGAGTAAGTCTCTGAAAGTTCTACAATTTGCGTTCAAGATGGAAGTTAAAGCAGAAGTACCGTGGTATCATGTGAATCGTGAACTTCTCCCAGTTAAGCTGATTTACTTCACGTTCCTCGCTGGTAAGTTTGAATTGTTTTTGACTGCTTTTAACAGGATAAGTTAAAAATCTATTTCATTCAATTTACAAATACGTGGGGCTGCAACGATTCAAGTACCTTTTTTTGATCCGATTTTGGTTAAAACTTTTCAGATTATAGAATATTTAATTTGAATATCTATATTTTACTTCAAATGATCTTGATTTAAAAGGCCATTTTTAGCTCGACTATACGAAGTATATGGAGAGCTGTCCTACTCGCCCCGGCGTCCGCGTCCAGATTTTAGATTAAAGTTTTGGTGCAGTAAAATATTTTTCACTATAACTTTGTCATTTCTTAAGGTATCAACTTCAAACTTCAAATATATGTTCCTTATCATCAACAACATCTTATGTGACAAGGTTCATAACTCTAGCACCAATATTTTCAGATTTATCTCCCCTTGAACTTAGAATTTTCCTTAAAAAATACTATTTTTTACTGTTACTTCTTTATTTCTTAAGGGATCAACCTCATACTTCAAATATATGTACCTTATCATCATCCCCATCTTATGTGACAAGGCTCATAACTCTAGCACCAATATTTTCAGATTTATCTCCCCTTGAACTTAGAATTTTCCTCAAAAAATACTATTTCTTACTGTTTCTTCTTTATTTCTTAAGGGATCAACCTCATACTTCAAATATATTTAAGTCATCATCATCCCCATCTTATGTGACAAGGCTCATAACTCTAGCACCAATATTTTCAGATTTATCTCCCTTTGAACTTAGAATTTTCCTCAAAAAATACTATTTTTTACTGTTACTTATTTATTTCTAAAGGGATCAACTTCATACTTCAAATATATTTACGTTATCATCATCCACACCTTATGTGACAAGGTTCATAACTCTAGCACCAATATTGCAAGAATTATCTCTCCATAAACTTAGATTTTTTTACTAGAAAAATGTTATTTTTTATTATAACTTTTTTTTTTTTAAAGGTATCTACCTCAAACTTCATCCTTATCATCAATTACATTTTATGTGACAATGTTCATAACTCTTGAAGCAATATTTACAGATTTATCTCTCTTTGAACTTAGGATTTTCTTTAAGAAATATAATAACTTCTTTACTTTTTAAGGTATCTACTTCAAACTTCAAATATATATTTCTTATCATTACACAAATGTTGTGTGACAAGGTCCATAACTCTAGCATGACTATTTCTAGAATTATTCCCCTTGATCTTGGAATTAATGTTAACAAATGTTATTTTTATGCCCCCGCCATGTAATGGCTGGGGCATATAGTGTTACCCTGTTCGGTCCTTCCGTCATTCCGTCCTTCCGTCATTCCGTCCTTCCGTCATTCCGTCATTCCGCCATTCTGTCATTCCGTCATCATCAGTTTCCGTTCATTATCTTAGTAACGGTTGCACATATTCAACTCAAATTTGACATATGGATATGTCATGAGAAAATACAGGTCAAGTTCGAATTTGGTCATGGTTCGATGATTTTTGGCAGAGTTATGCCCCTTTTACTTTGAAAATAATATGAAATTTTCAGTTTCCGTTCATTATCTCCCCAACAGTACAACACATTCAACTCAAATTTGACATATGGATATGTCATGAGAAAATACAGGTCAAGTTCGAATTTGGTCATGGTTCAACGATTTTTGGCAGAGTTATGCCCCTTTTACTTTGAAAATAATATGAAATTTTCAGTTTCCGTTCATTATCTCCCAAATCGTACAACACATTCAACTCAAATTTGACATATGGATATGTCATGAGAAAATTCAGGTCAAGATCGAATTTGGTCATGATTCGATGATTTTTGGCAGAGTTATGCCCCTTTTACTTTGAAAATAATATGAAATTTTCAGTTTCCATTCATTATCTCCCCAACGGTACAACACATTCAACTCAAATTTGACATATGGATATGTCATGAGAAAATACAGGTCAAGTTTGAATTTGGTCATGGTTCGATGATTTTTGGCAGAGTTATGCTCCTTTTACTTTGAAAATAATATGAAATTTTCAGTTTCTGTTTATTATCTCCCCAACAGTACAACACATTCAACTCAAATTTGACATATGGATATTTTTTTGGAATGCCAAGGTCAAGTTTCGAATTTGGTCATGGTTCAATAATTTTTGGCAGAATAATGCCCTTTTCACTTAGAAAATAATATGAAATTTACAGTTTCTGTTCATTATCTACCCAACAGTGTTACATATTCAATTCAAATTTGACATATGGATATGTCAAAAGGAATGGGCAGGTCAAGTTGGAATTTGGTCATGGTTAGATGATTTTTTGGCAGAGTTATGTCCCTTTCACTTTGAAAATAATATAGATACATCTTAGGAATAGGCAGTTTAAGTTTGAATTTGGTCGTGGTTCAATGATTTTGGACAAACTTATCTTTCTTGAATATTGGAAAAATTTTAAACTTTCAGTTTCTGCACTCATACTTTTGTGGACATGTATGTAGCCATTATTTTGGCTACAAATATGAAATATGTTATTTTCAAAAGGTTAAGACTGAATAATTTCAGTGCCTTGAACATTGTATGAAAATGGTTTGTGTTAACATTGAAAATTTTTAAGGGCTTTGAACTTAAAATGAAAACAATAATTTGTGCAAACAAATTTGGAACTAAATATTATAACATCTGAAATTTTGGCTGCATGCGGGGGCATCCGTGGCATGATGACACATTTCTAGTTTTTACTATAACTTAATACATAATTATACATAATGGATTTTTCTTTCATAGTTTTGTCCTCCTTACTGTGTCCAGTATTTTATTAGTCGAGCTTCGCTGTCTCCTGTGACAGCTCTTGTTGTGTCGCCTCTCCAGAGTAGTGGTGACAGCCGCGACATATAGGGATCATTTCACCGTCGTCTGTCTGTCTGTCCGACTATCCATTTGTACAAACCAGAGCTACATTATGGGGTTTGGTCTATTGTTCTCATAACAATAGATGTCTTTGATGTCATTCATTCCATTTCTCTTGTGGGGTTATTTTCTGCATTGTGGGGTTAAAAAGAACAAAAGAAATAACAAAAGAAAACCCCATAATGTAGCTCTAGTAAGAATGTCTGTCTGTCCCTCCGACTTGTCCGGACTACTCCTCATAAACTACTGGTGCAATTTCATCCAAACTTTACAGGAATGATCAGTACCAAGTTTAGTTGTGCATATTGTCAGCATTTTCCGGTTCAATGATTTTTGTAAGAGTTATGGCCCTTTAATAATTTTTATTTTTGAAGTTTGTCCGGACTACTTCTCTTATACCACTAATGCAATTTCAATGAAACTTTACAGGATTGATCTGTAGCTCAAGTCCTTGCGCATATTGCATGGGTTTTCCGGTTTAATGATTTTTGGCAGAGTTATGGCCCTTTGATAAAAAGGTGTTTTTTTCTGTGTGTTGCCAGATACACAAAAGCTTGTCCGTACTACTCCTCATAAACTACTGGTGCAATTTTATCCAAACTTTACAGGAATGATCAGTACCAAGTCTAGTTGTGCACTGTCCTGTCTGTCTGTCTGTCACAAAACTTGTCCCAACATGAAATTGGCCATCATGAGGCGACACATGTGATCACTGATCGCTCTTGTTATTTCTGTTTATCTGCTATGTTGATAATTTTGGTGAGGACTGATTGGATAATATGACATACTGAACTGAAAAATGAAAAATCAAATTGGATAACCGATTTAAAGTAGGGCATACAGATGTATCCGAACTTCGGTAAATCGTGGCACTCTACAAATGTATATACTACATGTATTAGTAGCATTCAATGGACGAAATTGTTATTGCATAGGGACAAATTTGTTAACTTGTGACTCTGTAGTCTTCTTTTCATTTTATTTGGAATAAATATTTCATATTATTTGTGATTTGTTGTCTGTTACTTGAACAAGTTTAGGACTCTGATAAACCATTCACTTATTTTCATGCATAATGTTTAAGTTGACGCTCAGAAACTAGATCAATTAACATTTTGCAATTTTGTTTTAGCTGTTGGCGATCTTCTACCATTCATCCCTATATACATGAAACAACTGGGACTATCATCTACAGAGGCTGGAATTATATACGGAGTGATGCCATTTATTGCCTTCTTTGTCCGTCCTCTATTTGGTGCAGTAGCGGATAAGTTAAGACGGCACAAACTAGTGTTGATGATTTGTGCGTTCCTGACGGGTGTACTGTACTGTTTGCTGCTTGTAACTCCAGCAAAAACTTCAAATGATGAAATGAACAATAAAATGTTCGTACATACGCAGATACAATGTAATCCAATAGACTCGTATGTGGTGGATTGCGAGAAGGTGAAGAATGATTCAGGTGTGATTGTTCTTAAACACTGCGATCAAAGTTTAAGGGCATTTGCTAAACAGCTGCCTGATAATTCTAGTCAAATCAGTTGTTCTGTGTCATGTGGAGTAAGTATAGCGCCAATGAATTTGTACGCATGTTTCACAGACGATGTGACGCCTGGTGTTGATGAAACATGTGTTGACAGGTGGAATGACACTTCACCGGGTGCAAATTTTGAGATTTCCATCAAAGATCTTTGGGGTGTAATTAGAAATGAGGTTGACAATCCTTATTTTATGCCTGTGTATGACGGGCAAGTTTGTGGAAATTATGACCTCAAAAATGTGACATTCAGAGGACGAGATTTCTGGCAGTTTACTTGTAGCGGGGAAGCAGTTTTTGACTGCAAAATGACATGTGATGAAGACTTACACAAAAAATGTTTGACTGTTACTAAAGATGAGCTGAGCACAACATTCTGGATATTCTTTGTGATTTTTTTGTTTTGTAATATCTTTATCTCACCAGTGATAAGCCTTGTGGATGCGATTGCGTATGATATTCTCGGTGAAAAGCGTGGCCGTTGGGGCAAGCAAAGACTATGGGGAAGTGTTGGCTTTGCCATATTTGCTATAACGTCAACATACATAATGGATGCTCTCAGTAAATCAAACAAAACAGTAGACTATTCAGTGTCTTTCTACATATTTCTTGCTTTAACTACAATCTCAACTGTAGTGACTTATTTCTTGAAGTTTTCAGAATCGATTCATTGCCACCAGATGTTTCAGAATATAACGTTGCTTATACGGTATCCAAGGATAATGGTTTTCCTCATCGTTATCACAATCTTTGGAATATTTAACGGTGTGATCGAAGCATTCCTGTTTTGGTATCTACAAGATCTCGGCAGCACTCAGATTATTTTAGGACTGTGTCTGGTTTTCAGCTGTACGCCAGAGATTGTAATGCTGCTCTTCAGCGGGAAGATAATAAAAACATTAGGCCATGTGACATGTCTATATTTAGCTCTTGGTGCATATTCTCTAAGGTTTTTCTGCTACTCATTCCTGACAAATGCATGGTATGTATTACCAATAGAACCGTTACATGCATTGACCTTTGCTCTGATGTATGCGGCCGCCTCTTCGTATGCCAGTATAATCACACCAGAAGGAATGTCTGCTACAGTTCAGGGACTTATGGGTGGACTTCACTTTGGATTTGGTTTGTGTACTTTACATTATATCTTTGAAAGTTTGTAAACCTAGACCTGCTGAATTTGTGTAATGGATTTGCCCTGCTTTGAATTTGGAATAGTCCATTTTAAGTTCCAAGGGATTTCAACATTAATATACAGAAAATGAAATTGAGATACCAAATTATTAAGAGTATAGTGGCAGTATACATATGTGCAGGATAGCCTGGCTCTATACTGGTGACAAGGATTCATCACTTTCAATTCAAGCAGGTTTATTAATATAAAGTTAAAATAGGACTATATTATTAATAGATGTACTGTAGAAAATAATTCTAATTGTCCAATTCTACACAAGTCTTTCTGTGATTTTTGTGGGTAAATGCTTTCTATTTGCTCTTTTAGAAGAAAAAAGATGGAAGTATTTTTATTACCCACTTATCAGAGTTTACTTTTTGGTTAACTTTTTGCATTAAAATGATTAATGGACATTAGCTTCATTACTAACAAAGGTATGACAATGAAACTTCTTATGTGGGTGAACGTTGCTGAAATCTACCTGTCACACCAAATTTATGGTCAATGGGTAAAAGTCATTAACATCTTTATTAAAATTATAATAGGTAATAGGTTATTTTTGACTTTCATTTTTTTTGCCATGGTTTAACTTTTTGTTAAGGTTAATAACTCGAAATTTATCAAAGATGTTCACTTAAAACATGTAGTTCATCTGTAAAATTTAGAGATAGCAAACAATTTCATACCTTATCAGCATTTACTTAAGTACATGTATGTGACATGTATATATGGTAAGTCATTATTTGAATTATCAAGCAAACACATTCACATAAGAGCATGATTGTACGAATCACATATACTAAACTTGAAAGTTATTGGTGATGGACAGATGGATGGACAAGTTTTTAAAATTGTGGTATAATGTTATCTTGCACGTATGTACATATTTTGATATTACACAGAAAATGGCATCAGTAATGATTCAAACTGACTAAGTCAGTTTTATTTGTTAATGCACCTTTTACTGTTGAACTATAGAAATTTTAAGTCAGTTTTATTTGTTAATGCACCTTTTACTGTTGAACTATAGAAATAGTTGTACATAATTACATGTTTGTATGCAATGAAAATTTCTTATTTTTTTTATTGTTTCAGGTAAGGGAATTGGTAGTCTAATAACTGGTAAACTATTTGATCCTGTGTCGGGCCTAGGGGAAGTGTGGACGTTCAGATTTTACAGCTTCTTTGCACTGTTCACACTCATTGTGTACGCTGCTGTACAGTATTTTTTCTTCAGGGAACCAGCAAAATCTGGACAAAACCCGCAGAACGGCAACCATATTTCTGATCAAGGTTTGTTCAAATCGGAAACAAATTTAGTTTCAGAAATAAGAAAGTCATTTTAACAGATGATGTTGTTTGCTTTCCATGTAATATTATAACCAATTTCAATTTGATTTGTAGTAAATTTCTTTTGCATAAGTTTCCATTTTAAAATGTCCAGTTGATCTATTCATTTTTTAAATGTGTTTGGACCCCTTTAATGGATAAAATCTTAACTTTGTAACTCCATTTATATAAGGAATTTAGCAATTTAAAATGTTTAAATTTACATGTATTTTTATTGTCATTTTGTTTAGATGATGAAATGGATAAAGCCGAAGACCAGCTCTTGGGAGCCAATACTGTCAATAATGAAAATGCTGAGGTCTGATATGATGGGAACCAGATATTGCTGAAAAGTGAAGGCATCATGATCATAAGCCAAGTACCAGTATTTTGAACATACTTTCGTGATGAATGTGCTATGCTCTGAATCAACAGGGAACAAGTATATGATAATTAAGAAGGAAAAAAGGATGAGCTTAGAACCAGATACAAATATGTTTATTCACTATCACTTTCAGTTATGATAATTACCAAAGCTACATACACTGGAGCCGCGATATAGCGCTCATGTTGGGGTCCATGATCTCAAGACAGCGTTGTAACGAGTAACTTTTTATAACGCTCATTTTGTAATTATAGCGAAAATATCGCATTACCCCACCCACCGCCGAAACATATAACGCTTGTTAGTGGAATTGATTGTTTACTTACCTTCCAATGGATATCAGTCCAAGCTTTTTTATATATCATTATTAATTATTTTGTAAAGCATTACTGAATATCTTTAATATAAACATGAAATTTACGAATTAAAAATATAAACCACGAATGAACGTTTATAAATTTCCAGTAAAACAGCGGTGTTAACGTGAGTTATGTGTGGTCATGAAAATTGATACCTAGTGGATGGGACTAAATTAATCGTCTTTCCTGCTGTCTCTTGTGAAAAAATCAGTCATCCTCAACAACTTTTTTGCAGAGAGATCGAAAGTGCATGCTTTTTAAAATTAATTGTATGCTTGGGTGATTTACTTAACTCGTCGGTGTTTGCATGTCTTAGCTAACAGTTTGATACCTGACTGATCAACAGTTCAAAATGAACAAAAGAGCGGATTAACGCTTACCTGTGTATGACTTCACACCTTCTTATCATGAGTGACGTAATTATGACTGTTTATTGCACTCGACTGACACATTGAACAAGCGTTATAGTGGATAAGGTGCGGTATTGATATACATGAAAAAAAATTATAATGGGCGAAAAATACGATTTTTTTTTGGGGAGCCAAGGCATATGAGCGTTCTACTGAGATAAGCGCTATACCGATGAGCGCTATATCGCGGCTCCAGTGTAATATATTAGTAAAATAGGAACCAGACATGCTATGTTATTAATATAATATTGTAGTAAATACTGTAATTGAAGAAACAAAAATTTACTTTCAATCAGTCGGGAACCAATGCATATCTATGACATTTTAAGTAAAAAACCTTACTGATAACAATCTGTGTATCAGGAAATAGAACCAGTAACCAGTGACTGGTTTTCATATTGGTTATTAAAACAGGAACCAGTCAATTCAGAAGAAATATTGAAAGAAAAAACATTTTGAATTCACTAACTAGGCAACATGACATCTTTCTACAAAATACTGCCCAAATCCAGACCTCATATTTACAGTCTAAAAGACAAATTTTTTGTAGTGGTTAGTAACTCATTGATAGGTGTAAAATGTTAAGTGTATATAATTATGTACATGTTTATGTTTTGTGTTATTTTACCATTTACTGTTAAGAGTCTTCATGTTTAAGTGATTAATGTCACTATTTGCTTTAAGGAGTCTTCATGGTTGAGTGATTAATGTCTTTATTTTCTATCATAACTGTCACTGTTGTGATTTGCATTCAGCAAGGAACATATAATTCTTCTATGTAAGGCAGTTGTCCAGCTGGGGGCGTCAGTGGTAAAGGTTATCTTCAAACTGCTTGCCCTCACTGCATTGGGTTCGAATCTGGTTTAAGGACTCTGGATTTTTTCATGTGAGGAAGCTTCGACTAGCTTATGGAACATTGTTGGTTCACTTGTCTGACCCTTAAATAATGCACAAAAGGGCACATCTTGAAGTAATACTTTTCTAGTAAAGCCGGAAAGTCACAATATGATGTTTGTTTGTTTGATTGGGTTCTACGTCACACTGACACAGTATAGGTCATATCGCAACGTTCCAGCTTTACTGGTGGAGGAAGTGACGGTGACGTCAGGTGCCCTTCTGTGCAATATTTCAGGCATGAACGGGCACTCGAGTAGAGCCATTGACGTTCCACAAGCTAGCTGGATAGCTTCCTCACATGAAAGAATACAAAGTCCCTGTCTGGATTCAAACCCACAGTGGTGAGGGGCAAGTGGTTTGAAGTCAGCGACCTTAACCACTTGGCCATGGATGGCCCTCACAATATGATAAGATGTTAATTAAGCACAATTGTATATCAAATGAAATAGAAGCCTTATTATTAGTTTACAAAACAGTTTCAATTTTTGGGGCATTTTTATTTTTTTGTTATTTAAAAGGTGCAATATTGTATTTTTTAATCTCTATACATTTTTAACCATGACACAAATTTTTGATATTAGAGGCAAAACCTTTTGCTCCACAAGGTGACACAACATCACCTAAGTGCAATAATTGATTAACTTCTATTACATTTAAAAGAACTTATTTCGTTACTGCACTAAGGTGAAGACAAATTGTTGTTTTTTTAAGCCAAGATTCATAAGTAGACACAAATTGTTGTTTTTTAGCCATAACCTACTAGCCTTTGTCACCAGTATAGAGCCTGGCCAGCCTGAACCTCCATGTGGCCTGACCTCCAGGCCCTAAATTGTTGCTAGATTAATTTACGTATTTTCATTTTAAAATCCCTCAAGTTTTGAATCGACTGTTCAATATTAGGAAAATCCATTACACAATTTAAGCATGTTTAGAATTAATAATATTTTATTTTTTAATTTACTTACTGAAACAATTTACTAACTGAAACAGTTTTCAGAAATCCATCTCATTGCCATAACATTGTTTTACTATCTATGTTTTATTAATATTTAAAAGGGAATGTAGTACAGTGGTGGGGCAAGTGAAGGGGATCCTCTGACTTGTTAATTAATACCCTACTCATGAAATATTTATTTTCATACCACTCAATGAAGAATCTTTGGATTAACTTTGATGATAGGTTATAAGCTATGTAAAGTTAAACCAAAACTTTCGATTGAAATGATATGTTGTATTGTTGTATAGGGTATATAATATACAAATAATTGTTGGCCAGTTTATGCTTACACTTCTGAATCCTGCCACTTAAACAAACAAAAAATTGGTAAGAATATTGAATTTTTGCTGTTTTCATGTGTTCACAAGTGCACTTAGATATACTGATTAAATATTAATTTGAATAAGCACACCAATAATTTTTAAAGTAGAGCCTTGTATTTTATTTACATAGAATTCCAATATTTTTATAAGCAAAAGGAACTTGTTTTACTCTTATATTATAGAATGTGTATATTACCTTGCTTTAAACCCAGAACTGCTGGAAACAAAAGTGGTTTGTCTGTGCCACCAGTATAGAACCAGGCCAGCCTACACATTTGTTCAGCCTGACATGGCTCTGTATTGTTGTAGCTGAATTTTTGTATTTTGATAATAGAACTTGTTAAAACTTAAATTGACTGTTTACAACTCAAAAACCTTGCAAAAAATTGATTTTGGCTCCAATCTGCTGAAAAAGATTGTTGTAAGAGTTAAAAATACATAAACTTTGACATTTCCCCATGAACTATTTGGTAGATTGTGATGAAACATTCAAAATTGCTCATATTGTGCATATCTGTTGAACAAAATGACTTGAGATAAAAACAGAAAAAAGTGTTAAATGACATCATGTCCTCAATCAACCAATAGATTTTGATGAAACTTTACAGAAATGATCATTTGGCAGTCCAAAAAGTTGCTTAAATTGTTCCAGTCTGCTGAACAAGACAGCAGTCTAAATTAAAAATTGTTAAGGTGCCCCATATACTCAGATGAGCGATTAAGGGTCATCATGGCCCTCTTGTTTGTACATGTTTTGAATTAAATAGTTTTTTTATCAAATTTTTGTGACATTATATTTTTATGTGAGTTAAAAATTTTATATACATGTGGTTAATATATATATATATATATATAATTTTTATGCTCCCCGAAAAAATTTCGGGGGAGCATATAGTCGCCGCCTTGTCCGTCCATCCGTCCGTCCGTCTTTCCGTCCGTCCGTCCGTCCGTCCATCCGTCCGTCCCCTTTTCTTGTCCGGGACATAACTTTGAAACAACAAGAGGTATCAACATGAAACTTTGTAGGTAGATAGATCTCATTAAGTAGGTGTGCAGTGCACAAGAACCGTAACTCTGCCTTGCCTAATTTTTGAATTATTCCCCTTTGTTTATTTTTACACTTTGAACTTTGTCCGGGACATAACTCTAAAAGTATAAGAGGTATCAACATGAAACTTTGTAGGTAGATAGATCTCATTGAGTAGAAGTGCAGTGCACAAGAACCGTAACTCTGCCTTGCCTAATTTTTGAATTATTCCCCTTTGTTTATTTTACACTTTGAACTTTGTCCGGGACATAACTCTAAAAGTATAAGAGGTATCAACATGAAACTTTGTAGGTAGATAGATCTCATTGAGTAGAAGTGCAGTGCACAAGAACCGTAACTCTGCCTTGCCTAATTTTTGAATTACCCCCTTTGTTTATTTTACACTTTGAAATTTGTCCGGGACATAACTCTAAAAGTATAAGAGGTATTAACATGAAACTTTGTAGGTAGATAGATCTCATTGAGAAGAAGTGCAGTGCACAAGAACCGTAACTCTGCCTTGCCTAATTTTTGAATTATCCCCTTTGTTTATTTTACACTTTGAACTTTGTCCGGGACATACATGTAACTCTGAAACAACAAGAGGTATCAACATGAAACTTTGTAGGTAGATAGATCTCATTGAGTAGGTGTGCAGTGCACAAGAACCGTAACTCTGCCTTGCCTAATTTTTTAATTATCCCCTTTGTTTATTTTACACTTTGAAATTTGTCCGGGACATAACTCTAAAAGTATAAGAGGTATCAACATGAAACTTTGTAGGTAGATAGATCTCATTGAGTAGGTGTGCAGTGAACAAGAACCTTAACTCTGCCTTGCCTAATTTTTGAATTATCCCCTTTATTTATTTTTACACTTTGAACTTTGTCCGGGACATATTTCTTAATGTATAAGAGATATCAACATGAAGCTTTGTAGGTAGATAGATCTCATTGAGTAAGTTTGCAGTGCACAAGAACTGTAACACTGTCTTGCCTACTTTTGGAGTTATTGCCCTTTGTTCATTTTGACACTTTGAACTTTGTCTGGGACATTACTCTAAAATTATAAGAGATATTAACATGAAACTTTGTAGATAGATAGGTCTCATTGGGTGGAAGTGCAGTGCTTAAGAATCA